CCAKAACARCAAAAATGGCTTTCCTTTATGGCTTTTGCTTGCAGGGTTTAATCTAATCGACTAACAGATCAGAACATGCAGACATCAGGAGAGCAAGCATTTTACCAAGCTCAATTGTTCCACTCCCTGGCCACATCCTGGCTGCCCCTTGTTGAAACTGCWCTCCGTGGCACTGCAGACACCTTCTAATGGTCCTGGTGTACCAGCACTGCAGTTTGCCATGGGAGACCTCAAACATGATGACTTATYCCATGGTCCTTGCAGCGTTCCATGACCAAGTTTTTCTCTGGCTTTTGTCTCACCTATTTTCTCTGCACCACTGACATCTTTTGACTGCATCATCCAGTTCTGCATGATTTATTTACCATTATAACACCCATGTGCCATAGCAAAAGAGCACATCACTTGGACCAGGGATAAGATTTGTATGTTAAATTCTCCTGGTTCATCTGAAAACAGCCTGGAACCATTAATTTAATCATAGAACCATGGAATCMTAGAATGGTTTAGTTTGGAAGGGACTTTCAAGATCATCTGGTTCCAACCCCTGTTGCCATGTGCCATGGGGAGGGACAAATGCATGTTACGCCTTGCCTGCAGGGACCTGAAGTTGTGGTTATCTACTAAGGTCACCTAAATTATTTTGGTCCCTGTACCAACAACACTGCCTCCAACAGCCAAAGCTATGACTGCCTGCGTCCTCCGTGTCTGTGACTGTGGACTGTCTGTGCAGACCAGTTAAGGGACACAAGCAGACAGCACARGAAAAGCACCTCCAGAATGGATCCCTCCTCACCACTGCGCTGGCTTCAATGTGCTTCCTCCCTAATGCTCACTAGGTTAGGGTTGTTGCTGCAATTCCTGACAGTGCTTAAACTACTCATGCCTCTCAGGATGGGGCACAATGGGGGACATGGCTCAGGACACAGTCCAAGCTGAGTGTGAAAAGGACATTTGCTAGAAAAACAGATAGTGGGAAGGACACCATGATCTCCAGGCYCTTCAGACATGCCTGATTCCCAACAGACTTTCACAAGTTTTTCTTAGGATGACGGACTCTGAGGAGTTTCTGTGAAAAAATATATTTTGGCAACACAAATAATTCAGACATTAAAAGAATTTTTCTTACTTTCTTTCTAGGGTGGTAATCCCTGTGATGGTGAGCTTATGGAGTGCTGTAATAATGTCATTTGGGCTGAGAAAGTCTTGGAAATGGCCCATCTCCCTCTTCTAAAAAGAGCAGAATAGGGTCATGTAAGGACCAGCAGAGACTTTGCAGTATGGATGTGACCATTCTGAGGACACTGCTCCTTCAGGCTCCTCCTGTCTGGTGGTAGGACTGTGGTGCAGCCCTTGCAAAAAGTCCAGACACAGCGTGGATGGCTCACTCCAGTACTCACAGAAATGCACCTTCTTGTATTACTATGGCAGCAGGAAAATAGTTATATGACATGTAAAAGAGAAACTGACACCTGCTTSTCTCTGCCTGGTTTCCTTAGAGGAAAATGTTCTTTTGTCCATTTTCTGTGAGTAAGGCAGATCAGAGCACACTCTATAGCACAGCACGTGGGACATAGTGAAGGTGAGGGGCAGAGATAGTCCTGAGCAGCACTGGCTSGACATTCAAACCACTGTGTGTAATCAAAAGGCTGTGACTAAAATGAATGTGCCAACCACATCCCCTGCTAAGCAGGAAAGAGGAAGATCATGGAGTCTCCATGAGCTTTGTACCTCTGCATCATCTTAGGGAGAATGACTGAGGCTTTCTCTGGAAATGTTTTTTAGCCTAATATCAGAACCATCAAACCCAAAAACTGGTGTGGACTCACATTGTGTGCAGACCTCMCACTTTATGTAAAAAACTCCCCAAGCACGCTTGACAGAAGGTCTCGATCCCACATCCCAAATGAGCTTTCCAGTCAGTGTGCCATCAGCCTTTCCAAAGAGTACTGTTTAACTGAATGTGTGTAAAGGGAAGGTATCTCCAGCAGGACAGACAGACACTCACCACAAGGGAATGTGCAATTCTTTGGCCTAGACTAAAGGGTGAGATCTAGACCCTTGTTTAAGTCAGTCTGAAAAAAACACTGAAAAAACACTGAAACACTGAATTATCCTTCCCAGACTCAGTAAAAATCCTGAAAGGCTCTCATGTTCCCAGGCAGTTAGAGCATGTCTATATCAGTGCGTGTGTAATTTTACAATGAATGGGGTTAGGCTAAGGCTATATAAGAATATATAAGKCTCTATATCCGTGATTCATTGTGCCTAGGACAAGAGTATTGAAGTGTATTGCATTGAATTCCAGAAAAGACTAAAAAGTTAGTAGCCCTGATAGCGAATATGTCCAGAAGCTTCCTGAACATTGTAATATCCTAACTTTTTACTCAGAGATCTGCATTTTAATAGAATAAATAATTAAATCCTACTTATTAGTGTCAAGGGTTATTATATCTTCACATAAGGTAAGAATTCTCTATAGTTATCTGCTGCTTCCTCACCCACCGCGTCATTTTTGTCTCTGCRCGGTCTCTAAGAAGCAAAGCTGTCACTGCCATCTAGTGTCTGCACAGCAAGCTTCTGGAGATTATGGTAAGGGAAAAAACGCATTTTCAGAACACTGAATTACTTCTCAAGTTTCTCATTTCATGTAGTTCATGGAAACTCTTGCAATGTTGCCTATTTTCTCACTTTGGAAAATTCAAATTATGTTTTCCCCCCTTTTTTTTTCTCACCTGGAATATATATTTGCATCCTCTTAGCCCTACTTCTTCAGGACCATGGAACCAGCACAAAAGCTTTTTGAGTAGCATCTGAAAGATTCCTTTTCTTGCCTTATCCTTTCTTCCCCTTCAAATATCATTCCTAGCAGAGATCAACATGGATATAAGAGACATTAATCGATAACTGCTCATATTGTAATTGCASAATCACAGATTCATAGAAAATGCTGAGTWGGAAGGGACCCATAAGGATCATTGAGTCCAACACCTGGCCCTGCACAGGACTCCCCAGAAGGCACACCATGGACCTGAGASCATTGTACAAATGCTTCTTGMACTCTGTCAGGCTTGGTGTAGTGACCACTTCCTTGGGGAGCCTGTTCCAKTGCYCAGMCACCCTCTTGAKGARRAACYYTTTTCTAATATCCAACCTAAACCTCCCTGAYGCAATTTCAGGCCATTCCSTACTATTAGGTGGATTTGTGTAGTTCCACAGAAGAGCCTAGCAATCTGGTGGGAAGTTATTGGTTCTGCTTGTGTTACATCCTGGGAGAAGTAGCCGCCTCAGCCTCCTTGTGGTCCTTTYATCACTCACATCGTGTCAGGAAAAGCAGTCAGTTCAGTTTCTGCCCAGGAAAAAGATGCATTTCTTTTCAATTCTTGGTGGTTTGTGATATCCCATTGGGTCCCCACCAGAAACTCGTGCAATGTTATTCTCATGTGGTGGCCGTGGGTCCAAGGGCACAAGGTACTCCAGAGCGTTTTCCTTTTGGGCTGACAGCAACAGGGTCCCTCTGGCTCTGATCTCAGCCTTCCACTGCACAAAGAATTTTTTCCRTTTTTTGCTCAACAAGATGCCAGGAACTGACAGCCTGGTTCTTTTCTCAGCTGAGGCAGAGCTAACCACAGGACAGCTCCCGTCTCTTGCTGGGGATGCGGGCACAGAAGCTGCAGCCGTGCTTGGACTCGTGCCGAACGCTGCTTCCAGTCAGCCCAGCAGCTAACAGGAATCTGTCTGTTTGGGCTGGACAGCAGCTGGATATGATCATGCTGAAGCCTTTTGAAGGTCCAGCTTCCTATGCTGTATTTTTTTCCCCTGCCAAGWGTTCAATGTTAACAGAAATTCACATAGATATGAAACACATTCATTGACACCTCCTTGCTTCCCTGTCCACATTCACATCCCCTTATCCAGTGCAGACCTTTGAAATTCAGAAGACTCCACAACTAGYCCTTATGGAAGATTTATTATTATTTTGATACCATTTTTCACCAAGTCTTTATACTGAGAATAGCTAGGATTAAGGTTACACATCCAGACCCTTATTTCACTGCCAAGTAATTAAGTGAAACTTCAGCCCAATATCAAACACTACTTTTTGGGGCACACTCTGTCAAAATTTATTTTTATATGTAATTGTATCAAATTACGTTTGCTATGCTTAGAGTATTGTAATGACTTTCCCTCTAGCAGTTCTATCAATATTTTATCATAAAACAGAACTTTGATTTTAGTCCACTTCAAGTTTTTGTATTTGCAAAGGGATTTTTTCTTCAAGTTTTTCTGTTTGTGAAGGGTTTCTTTCCAGTTCTATTTCCATGCATTTTCTTCAAGTACTTCCTATTTGTGAAYGGGTTTTTTTCCAGTTTTATTTCCATGCATTTCTTTTAAGCATATTAAGGTCTGGAACTCATTAGTTCACAATTTTATGTTCAGAAGAGACCTCTCAATCTGTTAGGTAATCCCAGCTAACCATCTGTATTGCGTGAGCTGGAGAATTAACCTCTTCTAGACCATCACTAGGTAATCCTGGTCMTTTATATCTGTTTAAATATATTAATTATTTGTGAGTTTAGCTTGGCAGGCCTGGCTCAATGAGTGATGTAAGAGTTGATATTGAGAAGGCAGAACAGGACATTGTAGTTTTAATTATTGCTAGTTTTTAACATATAACGTAATATAAACCTGGTTTTCCCAGTATTTCTTAATAATTTCTCATTCTTTATGTAGTGATAAGACTAATTCCAACTTTGTTCTTATTTTGCAGATTTGAGGCATCTTTCCTTTTTTCTGTCTTCTGTCTTCCTCTCCTTGTCTTTTTTATAAAATCATTTTTCTTGAAGGGAAAAAAAAGATAAATAATATTTTTAAACGAGGTGAAAATCTTAATGAATAAAATGCACAGGTTAGGGGTTTTGATTTCTTTTGTCCAATAGCTATATATTGCTTCTTTGACAGGCTGCATACAAAATTTTAATTTAATTAATTTCATAATGTCAGTTTATTTCTCCAGTTTATTTAATATTATTTTCAAAATCAAAATAATCACTGTCCCACATCATTTGCATTGATTAAAACAAAACTAAACAAAACAAACCAAGATCTTACAACATACTAAAACAATTGATATAGATATTAAAATAGTGGCCAACATGAAAAAATATATTCTTTCCAATATTTTGCTTTGGGTGTTCAGGTTCTCTTCTGGCACAGGCATAACCTCTATTAATGTCACTTTAATTAACAKCAGCTGAAAACGTGGGCTCTGATACCATATGTAGCATCATGCAAGGTTTCAACCTGCGTGATTCTCTTGCTGCTGCTTCCTTTCTGATTTCTGCAGGGAATACTTTTCCCCTTTCCTGCTTTCCTGTCTGCTTTGTAATGACATCTCACTGCTTCTGTACCTTCTCCTTGTTCTAAAGATGGCATTGGCATCGTCTACTTCCAGGGGGACAATCCCATTCAAATAGAGATACATTCAAATACTTCTGAATTCCCCAACTTCATCATTGCTGCCTGGTGTAACTTGCTCAGGGAGTCACCAGGCAGTCCTCACTGGYTCATTACAGATTTCCCAGTACGTTAAAAGGAATTTCAAAAAGGGAAGAAGGATTCATTTAAAAWTCTAATGCTCCTGGGTTTATCAGCTCTATTTCTTGAGACATGCTAGGAGATCCCTGAAAGATGCTAGATGTGCTCACATTGCTGGGAATTAGTAATGCTCATGATAATGTGTGATGTATCCAGCATCTCACTTCTTTACAAGACAAACTGTAAATGGCCTCTTAAAATGCTAATGATTACTCTTCCTTTTTCCTGTTAAGTTAAATCAATTCCAGACTGAAATGCAGCTGTGTAAGTCCATAKATGCAGTGTACATTTGGTGACAGGTAGCCACTTGTTCACGGAACCTTGCTGTCCTTTAGTAAACCTAAAAGCCCATTTTAYTAATAGTCCCATGTTCTACAAGCTGCCCTGCAGCCTATGACATGGCACCCTGCTGTAATTAGCACCAAAATAGGGAGTTAGTATGCAGGACACGGACAATTCTTTGACTCCAGATGCTATATTCAAACTGCAGTGGTCCATTGAAGAAGTAGAGGTAACCTAAGGAAAAGGAAAGTTAAAAAGAATTAACACTAAGAAATTGTGTTGTAACATCAAAATTATCCCTAAAAGAGTAATAATCTGGTTTGTTTTCATTTTTTATAACTCAAATGCAACATTTTCATATTTAGAATACTGAGCTAAATAATTAAAAGATTTTCATTCCATCTGCTAGAGCTGAATCAAGGTTTTAAAATGATTKATATTCTTTAATATTGTGTCAAATTTTTACTGCCCTTGATGAGGAAAAAAGAGGGTTGGTATATTAATTTTTAAGAATCTGATTTTGAAACCATCCTTGGAAAGCTGGATAGGAATGGGCTCCGTTTGAAGGAACAGACACATTATGACACTTCTACATCAAGCATATCATGTTAGGTTCCTTAAGCAAGGAGGTAGCTCCTTTTTTTGGCCAGAGCACAATTTAGATCAGAAAACTGATTCAGCCAAGAACAAAAGTGTTGATTTRGAGAAATCAAAATTGCAAATGCGGAGTTTTCTACAAGACACTAATCTCAAGTTTCAAGGGCAATTAATTGTGGTCAAGTTTCATTRTCATATTATGTACCATTTCTTTCATAGACTGCATCCACTTTATCACCAATTCCTGCGAAATCTTCCTCTATCAGCCTGGGGWAGCCTTCTTCCATAACCTCTGCCCCTTCATCGTAACTATATTAAAAACAAAATTAAAAAAAAAATCAGAGGATTTAAACAGCCTGGGAGTTTGGCCAGTGCCCTTTATGTGTTTCAAAGTTACCCACACCCAAATCAAAGCAAGCTAGAAGTCTTTTGGTGTTTTCTGTGCTTCTGCACATCTCCACCAGAAGTGGAAAAAGCACAAAACAAATACAGCTACATTTTCAGAATAGTTCTATAAGGTATATATTATACGGCAATTATTGCACCTGGATTTATTGGTACTACAAGCCTGTCCTGAAGATGCTTGGCCCAGAGACAGTGGGAAGGGATTGTAATGTCTTAATTATGCACGAGATCTGGCTGTGAGCCCCACTCGTGGGCAATAAAAAAGAGACAGCCTAGGGTGGGACMGATTTCTTACTCACAGCACTGATATGATTTCATTTCACACAAGCAACCCAAGGAAGGAAGGAAGATGGAAATTTTGTCCAGCAGGCATGACCATATTATGAATTCTCCCAGATTAGAGCACTTAATTCTCATTTCCTTTCACTCATTCAGCCTTTAAAGTCTGTGCCCATATTTTTGTAAAAGCCTTGTATGCATTTTTTTGATATGTTGTAGACATCTATAACACCAGTGGAAACCACAGACGGGAAATGTGGGCCATGGCCAAATGCCTGGTTTTAATTAAACTGCTGATCTTTCTATAAATCTGGACAAGTTATGGTAGGGACACTGAGACTGACCTGTGTCCAGCTTACCTCCAGTACTTATTTCCAGTGAAAAAGAGAGTCTTGCCAGTGTCTTTAATATGGACRGCTGCATCTATTCTTTTCATTTCTTTTGGGAATCCTATTTCGTGTATCTTTTTAGGGAAGCCTTCAACTATGTCGTAGCCATTCAAAGCCCAGACTTTCTTTCCTGAAAATATGAACAAAGTATGAGTGAGGCTTTTGCAAGGACTCAGCTTTGAGGGAAGAATGAAATRAGGATGCCATGACTCCTATTTTCAYAAAACAARGAGAATCTKAGGTCACACACTTAGTAGGTAKTAGATYATTTAAKCTATGATTCTGGGCATCCTGACATAAGTGTACATCTCCTAATTCATTGAAAATTTTATAGATGTGCATGAGGTAAAACCAACAGTTTGTTTTTTGAGCAAGGAAGGTGGGATGCTTTGTTCTTCTGTTGATTACTTTTACACCACCTATTGAGCTTGATTAAATATGTGTATTTTTCTGCCAACAACTAAATWAAAAAGCTCACCTTTAAACATGAACACAAGATCTTTGATGGGATTTTCATAAGCTGCATCTATTTTATTTGGAAGCTCTGGCCAAAAGGATTTAAGCAACACCAGTTCTGCCTCAACCATCTGAGGGTGCAGTCGCCAGAAAAACCTAGGTCAGAAAAAGAAGATAAATTTTATGTTTCTTGCCATACTGTAGAATAGCAGTATCTTTGATGTGCTATAGTTAAATAAATTACTGGTGAATTAAKGGTTATCACAAGATAAAATATAGAATATACAGAACTCTTCTTAGATCTTTCCTCATGGTCATCTAGCTGCAGAACATTTCTGTCACTCACACAGTGATAATCCCAAACAATAACAAATTTTAAYCTTTTCTCATTTAGAGTAAGGGAAACCCTGCTGTATAACTCAAATGCTCCTGAATGTGGTACAGCTTCACCCAAATAAATGTTAGCAGATTTATGCACGTTGAAGAAAGTCCCACGAAATTAAAAATGTGCACAAAAAGTGTCACTCTTCAGCCATGCTATTACCGTTGTATGACTGGGCAGTCGTCTGTAGTTGTATTACAAATCCTGCCTAAAAAGGTATATGATGCAGTTTCTTAAGAGACATCTATATTGATTTGTGTTCTTTTAAATATCTGTTTACCTAAATCTTTTGTAAAAAACTGAAATGGTGATTTTGTTTGCTCAAACTTCATCCTGTACCCACTGTTCATGACATGGAAGTCTCTTTACCTGTCCTTGAAGACCAGCATTTCTCCACGAAGTTCTGTTATTGCRTCAAGTGATAATTCTACATCACATTTCTCTGGTGTTTTGGGATGTTTTGGGTTGGGATCTTTGTCTCCAGCACCTGGAATCATATCATGTGATGTAAGCTTGACAATGTTCATTTCCTTTCTGTCAATGGTGATATTGAACAGAGCATGGAAGAGCTTCCAAGAGCATGATGAATACAAACTTAATGGGTAAAATTTTTTAACTGGGAAAAGTCTGTTCTCTCTTTCTAGGCTTTAGCCAAAAACATAAATGTATACATACATACATTTTTTTTTCCCCTCCTAACTACTAAATCTAAGCACCTTCTGAATCATTCTTAATCAATCATGACTGTTGTTATTAAATATCTGCAGCTCTGCAGAAACTGKGAAGTGCATCTGTCACATGCTATGATACAGGAGATATACATTATRTATTATACAGACTTACCATAGAGCTCTTGGATTCCTTGCACATCATCATCGGGAAGCACAAAACCACTTTTTCCAGTGTATGTGTAAATTGGAAACATCAAAGCTCCAGGGTCTCTAGAGTGTTCAAGTCCCAGTGAATGACCAAATTCATGGGCAGCAACAAGGAACAAGTTATAGCCTATAACAAACCACAGCAAAAGTAAATGTGCATGTCACTGCATCACCATGCTAACCTTGGCACTGTGACATATGGGACAATGAATGAGACAACTGAATACACTAAAAAATTGTACATAAATTCATAAAAATCATAGAAGGATGTGGGACCTAGTTCAAACCCTCCTGCCATGAGCAGGGACACCTTCCACTAGAAAAACTTGCTTGTCTGTATCAAACTACAATGGGTTTTGCATTAGTGAGGTCCTAATCAACTTATTGTGCCATAGCTGGTGTTCAGCCTAAATTTTATACAATTAAGTTGCTATGTAGGGAGATCTTGATTTCTTGAAATTTCTTAGCAACACAGGAAAGTTCAAGGGTGAAGTCTTGGTTCTACTCAAATCAAGAACATTTTTTTGTTGGGAATTCACTTGCAGTAGACCCCATATTATTTTCAGTATTGCAGAAATTAGGTCTAATGCCAGGAGGGTGAACTAATGCAGTGCTGAAAAATATAGCGTCTTGTTCTATTAAAACTCCCTGAATAGGCAAGGTGATGAATTTTCAAACTAAATGCAAGCAGACAATTTGCAGCTGAGGTATGCTTTCCATAGGCATCGGTAAGGCAATTCCCATCAGTCTGTGATCAGAACTAGCTGCCTTTGAGATCAGTGAAATATCAAAATGACAAAATCACTCTTTTGGCATTTTTTAAAATCACTTCACTTAGGAGATTTATGTCTTAAAATTTATGCTAAGCACATATTATGAATGGATGTTAAACTCAGCTTTCTATGAGTGAACAGTGAACATAATGATGAACAAACAGTAAACAGCCAAAACAGTTTACAGTTAACAAACAGGGATGAATTTTCCATTTATCACTATTTCKAATAATCTCATGAACTTCTGTTACCTTTAGAATCATCTGACCAAACTTCATCATCATCRAAATGGGCATCTCCTCCATAGTCTGGGCCCGGGGGAAAAGCATGTGCCAGTAATCCAGAGGGTCCATCAAAAGGGTAAAAGTCACCATGTTCTAKAAAGCAAAATTCAAAACAGTTAAATTGGTTACTCCATCTTATGTATATAAGAATATAATTTACTTATAAAGTAAAAAMAATTGGTTCTGTGTTACCTTTAGTGCCAAAGGAGATCATGATRTCAGCTATTCCACTTCGTATTCTGGTGAAGTTCAGTGGTGTCACATCAGACCAGACTTTAAATGCTTTCTTGAAAGCTCTGTCTACTTCATTATGTCTCAGATCTGAAGTGTAATTCATAATTCTGTCAAAGAGATTAATATCTCAGTTAAATTGTGTGAATTGAAGAAATATGCAATGCACTTTTATCTGACTGCACACCTCATTAAAAGTTTTTGCTTTTGTCCTATGATCTTATCACATAACAAGGAGCTTAGCAGCTTCACACAGTATTGAAAAAATGAAAATAAACATTTCTGTTTTCATTAAAATAATTCAGAGATATCTGAAATGATCCAACAGCTATCTGTAATTGGTTTTCTATGCACCAGAGGATTTAGAAAATGACDGATATATTCAGTATGAAGTAAAATCATATCAGTAACTTCAAACTTATTTATGTGATATAATATATCTCATGATCCTCACTTCCTGGAGGAGCAAAACATTATTCAAAGTGATTTAATAGGCTATAATTGTCCATATTAAAGTAATATTTATCACTAGATATGGAACTAATAGGGTTTAGTGATTTCATATTTGAAATCTGATAAATAAACCCCATCTACAGCTGTTTAAAACCTCAGGCTGACAGYCTTGCAGAATTAAAGGCAAAGGAGCCAACCTGTGAACTGTCAGCCCTTCTCTTCCTACGGTCAGCTTTCTGGGTCCTGGTACAGGTGTGTGACCAAACACRGATATCTCCATCTAGAATGTGAAATGGAGGAGCCTGCTCTCACAGCCACGCTACACAGATCTCTGTGAGCAAACGCTAAACCAGGTCCAAACCGAGCTCAGGAGTGACCCAGACAAGTGCATGGTCTGAGTCCCTACCCCTCTTACATTTGGCACCAGRGATGTGACCTGAGTGTCTATATGGAGGTAAATGAGGAGTTCCCAGCTTGCMCCACACCAGCTTTCCTTTTCCATGACAAAGTGTAATGGAAAAAATTCATGTTTACTTCTTTGGGCTGCAATGTAGGCTGGGAGCACCTTTCCAAAAGTGAGKCTGTAAGGGTTTAAAATTGCAACATTGGTTTGGTCAAATTCAAATGCATCCCACTCACATCAGCCTCGTACACCAAGCACAATTGGACAAGGCACCTGGAAAGAAGGTAACAGCAGTAATAACACTCAAAATACCAGGCATTTACCTGTATGTCAAATTCATTTTTGACCACTTGAGTTTCCTAGGGAAAAAGTTATATTCCCCCACATCTGGGACACCACATCTTGGTTTTTGCATCAACTCATATGTTTCTTCRTCTAGTTTGCCTGTCACCTCCAAGCCGAAAAAAGCTTGCATTTCCCGAAGTTTAGATGCCATTGTGTTTCCACTCTTCCTCAGCATGCCAGCAGGATTTGGACGGAGATCATAGTGAGTCCTGAGATAGCGCTAAGGAGGGGGAAAGRAGGAATAAGCTTGGTTTCCAGACAGTTGTAACTGCACAGCTTACTGTTTATGAAACATGCAAATGAATTCTATACTGTACCTCTGCAAACYGAAGGTCTTTCTCTGTGAATTCATGGCTGTCTTCAAGGGGAATAGGGATTGCCAGGCAAAATGRCAAACCCAACAAGACAAAGAAAACAGCTGAAAGTCCTGATTGCATCATGTTGGATTTCTGAAGTCTGAAGCCCTGATGTTTTAGAGAGCAGTTACCTTTTCTTTTATAGCCCCAGCCCAGTGAGTCACCACTCAGGGACAAGTTAGAACTTCCTTGTTGCTGGAAGTAAACATGCTTAGATGGCTGGTKTGTTTCCCCTCCCCAACACTGTGGTTTAGGCATCCGTTCTGCAGCGGAGGGCTCTGAAACTGTATCCTCGTATAAACATGAGGTCTCTGGATATTGACATAGTCTGTGGGAAGAAATGGGCRGAAGCAAACCGCACTTTTGGGTTGTTTTTCAGTAACTTACACTGGCAATAACTGCCAACAATGCTGCAATAACGTACTTTGCTTTGCTAGAAMAGTTGTCTTTTTATTATGTGATAAACAATAAATACATATAACAAGATTCACGATTTTTAAAATAAATCATGCAATTTTTCAGTAGTTACACTAGTTCAAGAGCAATTTTTAGCTGTTGGAATACACACACTTCAATTGTTAATAAATGTTACTTGGCTAATAAGAAGTAACATTATAGAATATATGATATGATGTTATGTTTCCTTGTTTCTGTAAAGAATAATAGCTCCATAACATTAACAAAAAAATTACTTCAGAGATCCTTAAAGGAAATTTCTGTCTATATTACAGAATAATTTACTGTCTGATGTACTCAAACCCAGAAATGTTAAATATCAGGAAATAGTTTTGAACATCTAAAAGTGTGTATTGTTAGTAATAAAGCAGGTCATGTAAAGTGATGAGTTCATACAATTAATATTCCTCAAAACCCATGAATTTAATTTACTTTATGAAAGGATGACAACCATAGATCAATGAGACACGTAATACTTTGAGCAAGGCAATCTACCAGCTACAGGTAGGCAATGGATCTGTGTGTCTAGAATAACAGAAAAATGTGATTTTGTCTAATGAGGTGGGTAATAGGATAAATCCGGCATTGTGACAGAGATGGTCATTACAATACCTCAAAACATAATGATTATTTCTCTCTCCCCTGGGTGACTGCAATCTCAGCTTTTCCTATAACTTGTACCATGTCACATGCTGACCAGCACGRGTCCAAGGGGAGATGCTGTTTGTGCTGAATTTGCCTTGTTATTGCATGCAGAACTCCTTTTTCCTGGGAAACCTCAGGCAGCTTTCTGGTAGACTGTGGTACCAACTTCCTGGAATGCACTACCTGCCATGGATGTTGCCTTGTTGACAAAACAGGAAAAGGACAAAAATYAGTGAAGCTGAATGTGTAAAAGCTCTATTACTCAAACAGTGATGACAAACAGCAAAAGCAAATAAAGCTGAGAAGGATTTGCTATGTAGGCTGTTTCTGCCTCACTGCCCACCTCAGCCACTGCTAAATATGATTACAACACTAAGGAGCAGACAGCATCTGTTAAAGCAGTTTGTATATTCTCCTTTWCATTCTGTCAGCAGTGCTGAGACTTTTACTCAGCAATGGGGCATAAAGACTGTTAATTAGTTATTCCATCTTCCTGAGAAGTGCTCTCCCCTGCAGCTCTTCGGGACAAGCACTGAATCTGTAATGCCAGTGCTCCACTGTACTGCACTCTTTGCTATGCAGACTGCCAGATTACGGATATATCTATTTCTTTGTTTCCAGCATATCAGCATTGATATTTGCAGTGTTGTTTTTATTAATGTTGGGGTACTCGACTATCGGATAAGCAGAGTTTCCAGTGGGTTTTGCTTGTTTTGTGTGGAGCTCAGGAGCAGTGGTGTTGCCTCGGAATGCTTTTTGTGGCTGTAAGGAACACTTTCTGGAGACCATGAAGCTGTGAATGTTACTGCTCTTCACAGCAGTACCAGACATAGCTCAGAAATCTATGAGCAAAATTAATAGCTTTAAACTCCACAGACAAAATTCCTGTGAATTCTAAAATATCTGAAATTAGTTTTCTTATGCATAAAGAAACACTACCACTTGTGTACCACTGCCCTTTATCAGACCTAGTTAAAAGTTTTTTATTCTTTTTCAAGTCCTTATAAGACTACTCTTTCTCAGCTCGGATACTGAAATCGTTGCTTCTGGGATAGGAGAAATTAATTTCTTAACCAACTCTTACTGCAAAACTGTCATCAGTCCATTACACTTGAGAGGATGAAACCAAATTATTCCTCAGTGGTTTCAGGTTTACCTTAATAAACATAGTTCAGCTAACTGCCAATTAAAGGTGAAACCAAGTATTCAGAGACAATATTTGAATGATATAAATGTAGAACAGAAAAAATATTTAGCTGGGTTCAAGACTAAAATTAAAGACCAGTGTTAGCCTACCCAACAGTGGTTCAAGGAGATGTGGAGCCTTGTTCTTTAAAATGCTTAGACTGCAGTAGTGAAAGCAGTAATAATTATAATTGTCTTGCATTAAGAAAATTATAAATTAGGCAGTGAAGAATGATTTTTCACTTCCTGTGACTTTTTTTTTTCCACAAATGCTCTGAAGTCCTTTGAAGTTCACTGTGGAATCTCTGTCAAAACCTTTCCTTTTTGTATCTTCACAGAGTTGTCCTGAGGCATTTCCAAGGAATATGTAAAAAATTGGACAAAGCCATTACAGAAAAAAAAACTAAACAGGCAGCTTTTCTGGAAAAAAGCTTCTCTTTGTGTAAGAAGATATGCATAAGGCTGAACATTTATACTGTGGGACAATTAAATAAGCAACTGAAGAGATAGTCCACTGTACTGAACAGCTTCTGTGTGTGAATAGAAAAATACACAAACAGAAAGGAAAGCAGGGAGTCTGTASCTATTTTGTCACAGGGAGTAAATCAAAATGCTGAACCAGAAACTGGTTTCTGAAAGCCATGTGTGCAATGAGCCATGCGAGTGTGTGTGACGGCTGAATTGTGTTTTCTGAACATTCATTGAAATCCTTTGGGAGTSCTGGCCATGCAAATAGACAGAATCCAAGACGTTTTCTCACACATTTTATTGCTATTTATATTACACCTGCGKCCAGAAGCCTATACCAAGGAATGGATTTTTGTCTTCTGTAGACAAAGTGAAGAAACACTGGTGAAAGAAAGGCTGTGTAAACAAGCAAATGTTTACCCAAAGAAAATGGGTTCCCCACCCCCTTTTTCAGAAACAGCATCACAGATGCAGTGTATGTTTTTTACAAGGGGAGACAAAGCCTTGACTGAACTGGGAGCTAAGTAAAGACCTCTGAAGCTGCTGTTACCTTTCTATACAGAAGTTTTTTAAAGCCTCAAACAAACTAAGTTTTTAAACTCAGCAATGATAGCAGATAATGTCAAAGACAGCCAGTGCTGGGCATTGTAAGATGTAAAATTTACGACTCAGGTGATGCCACTGCCTGAGTCAAAAAATTATTTAAAAGTRTGAAGGGAGGTGTAAATGAAGGTAAAGACAGTCAGCAGTGGTTCATAGACCTTGTGTTGACCCCAGTGTGACCAAGCCTGGAAAGTTTTATTTAAAAAGCTCTGAAACCCACAAAACTGCTGAATAGTAAGATTTCAACAAACACTGCAAAATTTCTGCAGTTCTGTCATCTTGTGGGTGTGGGTAAAGTTAGTTGGACTGATGGTAATTTAACAGGCACAGCAAAGACTGGAATAATCATGCTGGTTTTCCCCCCAAGGAAAAATGGAAAAGGAGGGCTGGAAGATGTGTCAAGAAGAAATGAAGTGCCTTAAAGCAGCATTTAGGCACTATTTATTTGAAAACAAGAATTATGMCAACCATATGATTTCAACACACATTTTGCTAACACAAATAATTGAACAGTGTCTTGTTTTGATTTACAGTCTGTGTTTGGTGCCCAAAATAACAATGTATAGTGAATGTGGTAAATGTTCAGTGGCCCTGAAACAGCAGAGACTTCACTTAAGACAAATAAGCAAAAGTCAATGGTCCCATTTGTTAATGTTTCTTGCCACAAGGCAGTCGCATTTCAAGTGAAACATTTCCAGTGCCTGGTGCTGTGCCATCACATTTARATCAGCTTCCTCTGGGAAGAAAGATGTTATTCTGAGGCCCATTTTGCAGATGGGTAAATGGATTCTCAGTGTTGCTCAAACACATGGAATTGCTCTGGCTCTACCTCCTCAGGTGAGAGTCCATCTTTGGGACCTGTTGCAAGGAGAGGGGGCCGTGACAGCTGCGATGACAAGGGGAGTTACAGCAACCTGACTCTTTTTTATATTACACAGCAGCCTCTCTGTGCCATTTGCTGGCAAAAAGGTACAATTGGGGTGCTCAGAGATGTTCAATATGATCCAGAGCCAGAAGCAAGAAAAATATGTTCCCGAGAGGCAATGGTTTTGTTTGAATCAGACCTCTGTGGAGCAGAGGCAAAGGGCACCCCAGATGGACTGCCTTTTTGTCTGCAGAACTAAATTTGGGCACCCTCCTGAGTGCTGCATCTAAAGTCTCGTTATAATCAAAGAAATCAATGCACTCCCTAAACSCTAGACAGCAGTTCAGCTTTTCACAGAGGTGACCACCTTGGGATTATTTCAGTTGTCCACAGACAGATATCTAATGTAGCTGGGAGGACAGAGAGCTCTCATCAGTCCTGTGTCATATCTGGCAGTCTCATGAAGGTTTTTTGGATTTTCCCCTGCATCTCAAAGTGGGAAACCTTTCCCCAGGCTGCTGTGCTGAGCTCTGCTGACTCTGCTACAGCCCCTACACCTCAGTTCAGGTCACCTTTTCTGAAGCTGCACTTCTTGCCCATCTCCTGATGCCGGAAGAAGCCAGGAGATGTCACCTTGCTGGGATTTTTTGTGAAAATATGTAGGCATATTGGTCAATGGACATCCCTTCCAGGACACTACTCCTTCTCACAGCTGCATCTGACCCTGGAAAAACAGGGACTCACTCCCACCTCATGCCCACAGTCAAACTGAAAGAAAGAAAATGCCTCAAAGAGCTGCATCAATCCAAATTTTCTTTGTCCAAGCAAAGTGACCACTCAGATCAAGTACAAGATGTAGTTCTCTTTGTTGCTAGAAACCTGTAGGCAAACAATGAGCTTGTG